TCTGCCCCAACGCCTGCCCCGGAGAGCTTTTCTTGTATCTGCCTCTTGTCTCTGGCCTTCAGCCCAGGCTGATCCTTATGTCAGCGTGCCACCCTTCATTGGACACATCTTGTTACCGGAGAATGGCAGGGTTCTTGTCTTCGCCCAAGAAAGAATTCAGGCGTGAGACAGAGTAGTGGAAAGTAAAAAGTAGCAAAGTTTATTAGGGTAGGGACATCTGCAAGAACAGATGGGTTGGCCAGCACCATGGCTCAATAGGCTTGTGGCGCCGGCACATCGGGTTCTAGTCCCGGTTGGGGCGCCGGATTCTGTCCCAGTTGCCCCTCTTCCAGTCCAGCTCTCTGCTGTGGCCTGGGAGTGCAGTGGAGGATGACCCAAGTGCTTGGGCCCTGCACCCGCATGGGAGACCAGCAGAAGCACCTGGCTCCTGGCTTCAGATCAACGCAGTGCGCTGGCCGCAGCAGCCATTTGAGGGGTGAACCAATGGTAAAGGAAGACCTTTCTCTCTGTCTCTCTCTCTCACTGTCCACTCTGCCTGTCAAACAAACAAACAAGCAAAAAACAAAAAACGGATGGGCACTTCTCCAGACAGGACCTGAGAGAGAGTGCAGTCGCTCAGACTGGGGGGTGGGGGGTGAGGTTACATGGTTGAGTAGAGATTACACCTGACCAGGCCAGGCGGGCGGCTCAGCAGAGAGGCAGAGGGCTGAGCGCACCATCTGGTTGAGGCCAGGGGTTTTTAAGGAGGTGGGTCTTGCTTCCCCACCTGTGCTCCTCTTGGAACAAAGGGCTTTTTGGATGTAAATAGAAAAACTTCCATCTGAGTTTTCTCCCTGAAGTTATCAGACAGGAGGAAGGTGCCTGTCCTGAGTTTAGAGGAAGGGTGAGCAAGACCCCCTAGAGAATGGAGATCGGGAGCAGGGTGTTTGAAATGCAGATACTGGGCTGCACCTTGGAGATTGTAGAAGATTTGTCAGGCAGAAGGGGTGGGACCCCTCACCTGGCAGGTTATTGGGTAGAAGGGGGCAGGGCAGGATGCGGATACCAGGCTGCCCCTGAAACATTATCCGGATGACTTTGAGATGCAGATGCATGTGCTGGACATAGACGTCTTCTCTTTAGGCCTTTATGTCACACACACATAAGCTCATATCTGACTTCCTACCTAACAGTCTCATTGACTCTTCATGAATACTCAGTGAGGTTGGTCCTGTGCAGTCAGGTTTTGAGAACAAATTATTTTATTTTATTTTTTAGATTCATTTTATTTTATTTTTAAATATTTATTTATTTAATTGAAAGAGTTACAGAGAGAGAGGAGAGACAGAGAGAGACCTCTTCCACCCGCTGGTTCATTATCCAGATGGCCACAATGGCCAGCACAGAGACCAGACTGAAGACAGGAGCCAAGAGCATCTTCCAGGTTCCCCATGAGGTTTCTAGGGGCCCAAGCATTGCGTCATCTTCTGCTGCTTTTCCCAGGCCGTTAGCAGGGAGCTGGATTGGAAGTGGAGCAGCTGGGACATGAACTGGCTCCCATGTGGGATGCTAGCATTGCAGGCGGCAGCTTTACCTACAATACCACATGCCAGTCCCTATTTAATTTTTTAAGGATTCATTCTTTTTTTTCTTTTTTTGAAAGGCAGAGTGACAAAAAGGGTGAGTGAGACACACACACACACACACACACACACAGAGAAATTTTCCATCTGCTGGTTCACTCCCCAAATGCCCTCAGCGGCTGGAGCTGGGCCATATTGATGCCAGGAACTCTGTCTGGGGCTCTCCCACGAGTGTCAGGGACCCACATACTTGAGCCATCACTTGTTGTTGTGTTAGCAGAAAGCTGGAATTAGAATGGAGCTGGAACTCAAATCCAATCACTTAAAAAAAAAAAAAAAGATGTATTTATTTATTTGAGAGTCAGAGTTACACAGAGAGGGAGACATAGAGAGATATTCCATCCGCTGGTTCATTCCCCATGTGGCCGAAATGGCCAGGGCTGGGCTGATCCAAAGCCAGGAGCCAGGAGCTTGTTCCTGGTCTCCCACACACTTGGACCATCTTCCACTGCTTTCACAGGCCATTAACAGGGAGCTGGATCTGAAGTGGAACAGCCGGGACTTGAACCAGCGCCCATATAGGCTGCTGCCACAGCATGGTCCCCAAACCCAGTCACTTCGATATGGAATGCAGGTGTCTCAATACATTGTCTTAAATCAATAGGCCAGGCCGGCGCTGTGGCTCAATAGGCTAATCCTCCGCCTGCGGCGCTGGCACCCCGGGGTTCTAGTCCCGGTCGGGGCACCAGATTCTGTCCCAGTTGCCCCTCTTCCAGTCCAGCTCTCTGCTGTGGCCTGGGAGTGCAGTGGAGGATGGCCCAAGTGCTTGGGCCCTGTATCCGCATGGGAGACCAGGAGAAGCACCTGGCTCCTGGCTTCGGATCAGCGCGGTGCGCCGGTCACAGTGGTCATTGGAGGGTCAACCAACGGTAAAGGAAGACCTTTCTCTCTGTCTCTCTCTCTCTCACTGTCCACTCTGCCTCCTATAACCATCTTTGAACACAGGAGACTTGTATTATATATAAATAATTCTGTTATTTCTTTCTGTAGTGGGGACAAACTTTACCACTACCCTCTTAGGCTCTCTGACTGGGCCTGGAAATGAACTTGACATAGGGCAACTCAACAGGAGAACGGCCCACAGATTTCTATAGGGACAGAAGAGCCCCTTGGAAACCGAAGATCCAAAGGGGACGATAGAACCTACTCTGCCCATGTTGTGAGTTGGACCAAGAGAAGGAAGGTGTGAGAATGTAAGGAGACCCAGGGCTTCTGCGGGCGGGTGCTCAGGGAGGAGAGGCTGGAAGGATGGGGGTATCGAACGGGGCTGGTGGGCGGATCTCTCCTGGCCTCAGCTCCCTCCTGCTGCAGGCACCTGAGGGTAGCTGCCCCCCAGGACATGCTCTGTTTTTGGGAGGGGTAAGGGACCAGAGTGCCCCTCTCGCCTTGGCTATTTTTAGGCGCTTTTTTTTTAAAAGATTATTTATTTATTTATTTTTGACAGGCAGAATTAGATAGTGGAGAGAGAGAGAGACAGAGAGAAAGGTCTTCCTTTTCCGTTGGTTCACCCATCAAATGGCCACTACGGCTGGTGCGTTGCACCGATCCGAAGTCAGGAGCCAGGTGCTTCCTCCTGGTCTCCCATGCGGGTGCAGGGCCCAAACACTTGGGCCATCCTCCACTGCACTCCTGGGCCACAGCAGAGAGCTGGCCTGGAAGAGGGGCAACCAGGACAGAATCTGGCGCCCCGACCGGGACTAGAACCCCGGGGTGCCGGCGCCGTAGGCGGAGGATTAGCCTAGTGAGCCGCGGCACAGGCCAAAAAAAACTTTATTTATTTATTTGAGAGGCATAATTACAGAGAGAGAGAAGGAGAGGCAGAGAAAGGTCTTCCATCCACTGGTTCACTCCCCAAATGGCCACAATGGCCGGAGCCAGGAGCCAGGAGCTTCTTTGGTCCCTGTCAGCAGCCCTTTCAGACGTAGGGACTTGTGACAATAACTCTTTCATTTGCTCAGGATTCTGTGGGCAGCTGTTTGAGGAGGGCTGGGCTTCCTTCCACTGGTCTTGGCTTGGACTCATTTGTGCAGGGGGCTGTTGGGACCCAGCTGCTGCGGGGCCTCTGTAGGGTGAGGTTTTGCTCTTCCTGTCCTGTCACACTGGACCAGCCAGGATGGCCAGTTTCTCTAATACCAGATGACAATTTCAACCTCAAGGCTTACGATTTTTCCAAGGTTTTTTCCTCTACCAAATCAGAGCCGAATTTGGCGCATTGTATGTATTTTTAAAGATTTATGTATTTGTTTATTTTTAAAGATTATTTATTTGAGAGGCTGAATTGCAGACAGAGAGAGGGAAAGACAGAGAGAGAGAGGTCTTCCATCTGCTGATTCACTCCCCAAATGGCCACAACAGCCAAAGCTGGGCCGATCTGTAGCCAAGAGCTTCTTCTGGGTCTCCCACACGGGTACAGGGGCCCAGGCACTTGGACCATCTTTTGCTGCTTTCCCAGGAAAAGCAGAAGAAAGCTGGATCAGAACAGAGTAGCTGGGATGTGAACTGGCACGCTGAGACGGGATATTGGCATCACAAGCCGTGGCGGCTTAACCTGTTGCACCACAGCGCTGGCCTGAGAGGCAGCGGCTTTGGCCCTTTAAACTAATGACAAGCCAAGTGGGGCAAAGATGAGACCAATCGATCAGTTTATGGCAATGCACACAAAAGCAGAATAAGCAAAATCAAATAAAAGGAATACATGAAAGATGAGACGGATGAAAGAGAATGACTTGAGCCCAGAGTGCTATTAACAAACCAAGCACAAGCATCCGCAGAGGACATTTTCCAAATGGTCCAGGAAAACGCAGCCCTTCAAGGTGACACTGGGCGGTTCCTGATTGCCATCAGCCATCAGCCATCAGCGACGACGGTCAAGGGCCCTTCACCCCAACAGAGCCTCTGCAGCCAGCGCCTGCCCGAAGTTCTCGCAGGGCAGGGAGTCACAGCCAGATGGGTCTCAAGTGGCAGTCTGAGGACTATAGCATTTACCGCTCTGGAACGTGTCTTGTGTTAGCCACCAGATGTCCAGTTTGGGGAAAAACATCCAGAACCAAACGATCTCATTTGCACCGGGACACACAGTTGCCACTGTGCTGTATCAACCAGCCAGAACAAAGCAGTGGGTCCCCTGCTATCAGCCATTTGGCTCCGTTTCAGCTTGTGTTACATGAAAAAAACTCGCAATGGAGTGAGTGCTGTAAAGGCACCTTCATGTTAATCCTCATTAAAATACCAGTTTACTTAGATTCACAAAATGGTAACACAACAAAACGTACATTTGCTTATTTGAAAGGCAGAGAGACAGAGAGAGGAGAGAGATGAGAGAGAGAAGGGAGGGAGGGAGGGGGAGAGAGAGAGAGAGAGAGAGAGAGAGAGAGAGAGAGAATCTTCCATCCACTTCCATTCATTCCCAAATGGCTACAACAGCCAGGTCTGGGCCAGGCTGAAGCCGGAGCCAGGGATTCCAACCGGGTCTCCCATGAAGATGTCAGGGGTCCGTGTACTTGGGCTATCATGTGCTGCTGTTGCAGGGGAATTAGCAGGAAGCTGGACTGGAATTACAGTAGCTGGGACTCAAACCCATACTCTGATTATGGGATGCCAGTGTCGCAAGCAATGGCTTAACTCTGTGTCACCAACCAGCCCCCACAGCGTGACTGCCTCTGTCATAAACTTCAAAGGCTTATTTGAAACTCAGAAGCTAAGAATGCACTCTCTGTTCTGCTGTATCCTCCAGTACTTCCTACAGGGCTGTGCTGTAAATGTTCTAGCCGCCTCTCCGATGGGGGAAGGAGTCAGGAGGAAAGCCTCATTGAATAGCAGTGTAGGACAGTGTCCTGGTTAGAACGGTTGGTTTACCCAGGGTGAGGGGTACCAGGGGAAAGGAGGGGAACTCTGCCCCGACTTGGGTTTTGCAAAAATTTACCTGGGCAGCTTTGATGGGGGATGGCGCTATGGAAGATTAACTTCAGGAGCCATTGTGTTCTAGGGAGAGAGGCACAATGAGGAGGAAGGAATTTACTACTCTGGCCCTTGCACAGGGCGTGGCTGTAACTGGGATGCCTTGGTGCTGGCTCACAGGGGCACTGGGGGAGGAGAATCTCAGGGGGCAAAAGCTGAGGGAGTCGTAGCATCAGCAACCCAAGCAATGGAGAAGGCTGGGTCCTCTGTCTGCCGGCTGCAGCAGGTGAGCCCCAGAGTCTGATATGCAAGTGGTGACGGGATGGTGATGTCACTGGCAGCTCATGGGCAAGAATGGAGTTGGCAGCAGGTGGGCAAGTCGCAAGGGCAAGGTCAGGAGCCCAAGGGTGAGCGTCTGGGGTGATGGTAGTGAGAATGGCAAGACCACTTGGCACCTAACGCCTCCCGTCACGTGCCTGCCCTGAGAGACTTAACTAACCTGGCGCAGCTTCTAGCAGCCAAAGATGGCGTCCCCAGGGCTCCCTCTGGATTCCTGTCTAGAGAGGCTCAGGGCTGTCAGATGGATTTGTTCCAGCCAGCGTCAAACACAGGCCCCCAGCCTCCCGCTCTCAGAGCATTTACAACAAAGGGCTCACAGCCAAGACTCTTCCTCTGTGCCTTCGACGTGTGTGTGTTTCCTGCATCTTGCAAGGACCTCGAAGTGGGCTCATCAGTAGGGTGAGCTCCAGGGTCTCTGTCTCGCAGCCTCTGTGGGAGGGCACGGTCCTAACTGTGATGCTGCCGGCTCGGCGCAGGCCTGGTGGCGTTCATGGTAGTCCCTGCTGCCCCTCTGCCTGCACAAACTGGAGTGGAGCTCTGTTCTCCCCTACAGGCAGTAGTTATGGCATCAATCTGTTCTCAGCACGCTTGCTAGCCTTTCACTTCCTTTATCTTTCTTGCTTGGGAGTTGGCAGGGACTACGGGGAACTGAAGCTGGAGGAGGGGCGAGTTAGATGAGCGCCAGGCTCCAGTCAGGCGGTGAGAGCAGCCCCGGGCGGTGACCGATGGGGCCAGGGAAGAGTGGCCTGGGCACGCTTGAGGTACATTAGACACCACAAGCTGGGCCCATGCCAGGGGGCGGGGGGAGGGCTTTTGTTCACTAAGGGTGCAGCCTGGAGGGGGCTGATGTGGGCACAGAGCATGGGAGACAGCCCCAGCTGCCGCCCCTGGAGAGATACAAAATGGGGCCAGGAATGCCGGAAAGGAGGCAGCTGGCGTCCTGCCATCTTGCGTGTCAGCTGTTGAGGCCACAGTCTTCCTGTTGATCACAACCGATGTGTGCACACGAGGGAGAGAACCAACTCCCTGGGTACTGCTGTCGCAATTCTCAGAGGTCGCTGTTTATCCATGAACTTCATTTTGGGGTCTCTCCATTGTGGTCATGGTCACTGACTTCTGGAATGTCCTAAGGGTTATTTTTTCATTTTGCAGAAGAAGAGGAAAATTCCTTTTGAAGAGAAAAAAATAGTGAAAAGAAAATTCTAGAAAGTGGAAAATGACTTGGAAGTCTCTCTCTGCCCTTGAGAAATAAGTGGGCCCCTCTGATGCCCTCACACTTTTGGGCAATCGAGCAAGCACAGCCCACAGCAGCAGTCTTGTGGGAGGGGGAGAGTGGGACACGGGACCCAAGGCTGAGAACCCAGGACACAGAGCCTCCCCTTCTGCCCCTTTGGTGACCAAGAGCAATGATTTCACACCTGTGGTCATCAGTTTTCTCACGTGGCTTCATGTTTGCTGCCTTGAGGTCAATTATGTTTCCTTCTATGACTTTGCATTCAGGCAAAGATTTCTCGTTCCATTTTGTTCCAGATAAGTGGAACACATATGGGCGCACACACTGAGGGAAGTGGGGTACCCCAAAAGCACATAGTACTAGGGTGACACAAAGGTTTCTACTCCGTGTGTTCAGCCACCCTTCAATCCTTCTTCAGAAGTAAACTTTGGGTTGGCGTTGTGATGCAGCAGTGACGTTCCTTCCATATGAGCACCAGCTTCAGTCCTAGCCGCCCTGCTTCCACTCCAGCTCCCCGCTAATGAGTCTGGAAAAGCAGTGAAGACGGCCCAAGTGCTTGGGCCCCTGCCATGCTTGTTAAGGACCAGGATGGAGTTCCTGGCTCCTGGCTTTGGTCTGGGACAGCTTTGGCTCTTTGGGGGAGTGAAGCAGTGGATGGAAGATTCTCTCTCTTTCTCTACTCCCTTTCCTTCACCCCCTGTCACTCTGCCTTTCAAATACGTAAGTCTTTTTAAAAAATAAACTTGGTTAGTTTAATTTAAAACCACATTTAGGATTGAGTGGGAGAAGCAAGACACAAAAGATGCATACTGTGTGATTCCTCTGCTGTAAAGTTCGAGAACAGATAGAACCAACCAGTACCTACGGGGGATTGGTTCCAGGACCCCCGTGGAGACCAAGGTCTACAGATGCTCAGGTTCCTTATGTAAAATGGCATAGCATTTGCCCATAAGCTACACAATCCTCCTGTGTACTTTAAATCGTCTCTGGGTTCCCTATAATACCGAGTACAACATAAAGACTATATAAATAGTTGCTATTCTAAATTGTTTAGTGACTACAACAAGCAAAAGTCTGCACATGTTCAATTCAGATTCACTTTCCCCCCAAATAGCTTCAATTTGTAGTTGATTGAATTCACAGATGGGGCACCTGCGGATCTGGAGTGCTAACTGCATACATGGTTGTAAAAACCCGAACAGGAATCACCCCTGAACTTAATCAGGAGGAAAGAGTCCCAGATCTTGCTTGGGAGATCAATTTTGCTGTTATATGTATTTGTCAAAGCTCACTAGACTACACACTTCAAATCTGTATATATATATATATATATATATTTTTTTTTTTTTTTGGGCAGGCAGAGTGGACAGTGAGAGAGAGAGACAGAGAGAAAGGTCTTCCTTTACCATTGGTTGACCCTCCAATGGCTGCTACGGCCAGCGCACTGCGGCCGGCGCACCGCACTGATCTGAAGCCAGATGCTTCTCCTGGTCTCCCATGCGGGTGCAGGGCCCAAGCACTTGGGCCATCCTCCACTGCACTCCCGGGCCACAGCAGAGAGCTGGCCTGGAAGAGGGGCAACCGGGACAGAATCCAGCGCCCCGACTGGGACTAGAACCCAGTGTGCCGGCGCCGCAGGCGGAGGATTAGCCTAGTGAGCCACGGCGCCAGCCCAAATCTGTATATTTTTTTTCTACACACACATTATACTTCAACAATATTTTATTTTGTTTTAAAGATTTATTTATTTATTTGAAAGTCAGAGCTACAGAGACAGAGAGAGAGAGAGAGACAGACAGACATCTTCCATCCACTGGTTCACTCCTCAGGTGGCTGTAACAGCCAGGGCTGGGCCAGGCTGAAACCAGGAGTCGAGAGCTTCATCCAGGTCTCCCACATGGGTGCAAGAGCCCAAGCACTTGGGCATCTTCCACTGCTTTTCCAAGGCCATTAGCAGGGAGCTGGATCAGAAGTGGAGCAGCCGGGACACGAACTGGCACTTATAAGGGAAGCCAGCATTGCAGGTGGCAGCTTTACCTGCTGTGCCACAATGCTGGCCCCAGTAATTTTATTTACGTATTTATGTTTTATTTTCTTTGAAAAGGAGAGAGAGAGAGAGAGAGATCTTCCAGCCGTAATTTAAAAGAAGCAGTGAGCCCTCTCATTTTAGACCATGAACGAGCCGAGACTGCCAGCTCCTTCCCTTAGAATCGACCTTGGAGGAGCCATAGCAGCTGCAGGGAAACACAGATTCCAGAAGTGATGGAAAATAAAAGCGAGCCGACCCGCCTGGTCTCTGCCCCGCTGCCCTGGGGAAGAGGGTGCCTGATCCTGAAGCTGGGGCTGCAGCTGGCGTTGGAGCAGGGCTGGGCTGCTGGGCGTCCGAAGGAGATGGGTTTTGTTTCTGTTTGGCTTTGTGTAGGCGTGCGGATGACTGCCTGTCTGGCTAGGGCCTGTTTGCTTTGGTTTGGTTCTGCCTTGCCGTTTGCCTGACAGATCTGAGGCCAGACCTTCGCCTTGCCCCGGGCCTGGTGGCTGTGGGGTGCCACTGGCCACACGGAAGCAAGCAGCATCGCTTAGAGCTCTTGCCCCTCCCCCATCTGCAGGGCTGTGGACCACTTCAGGGAGGCTCTGCCCCCGCCAGGGTCTCTCCTCTCTGGACCGGGGATGGAAGCTTAGGCGGCGGGGCTGCTCGCAGGCTTGGTTGGCCACCCCTGCCTGGGCGTGGCCCTTCCTTCTCCTTAAATCCGTGAAGGTTGACCTGAATTTGGGCATGCTCGATGCTACCCCTTCTCCACCGCCTTCTTCCAAAGCAGCTGGTACAGGTCTCATCCCGATTATCCAGCCACAGATTGAATTTTTCTCCCTGTAAACAGTCTCACTTTCTCGTCCTCCTCCCTCCCCCTCTCCCCCCTCCTCATCCTCCTCGCTTCTCCCTTGCAGCTTTTTTTGGCTTGGAGAAGCACAGTGCTTTTCCTGCACTGCTTATTTTTTGTCTTTTGAGACTCTTCCCACTGTGACAGTCCGCTCCATCTGCACCTGCGGCATTTTATTCCTCATTTCCTCACCACTTTCAAAATAAATACCATCTCTATGTTTGTCCCTTTTATAATTGTGCGCCTCTTACAAGCACGGTCAGGATTCTCGGTGGCTTTACGCTTATGGGCCGTGATGGGGTAGGTAATATGTGAGCAACTGCGTGGGCACAGCACAGCCACGCGCCTGGGGGAACGAGCTCTCTGCAGGTCACGATGACCATTCGCTACAGCTAATGCCATCTGTTGGTGGAGGGAGGAGTTGTTTTTTTCCTGGCTTTTTTTTTATATCTATGGATCTGCAGGCATTGAAATTTGAGGAAAATTGTTTCCTAAACATATTATTCTGTGGTTTTTTAAAAATCGATCTTCTTGGCCGGCACCGCGGCTCACTAGGCTAATCCTCTACCTGCGGCACCGGCACCCCGGGTTCTAGTTCCGGTCGGGGCGCCGGATTCTGTCCCGGTTGCTCCTCTTCCAGTCCAGCTCTCTGCTGTGGCCCGGGAATGCAGTGGAGGATGGCCCAGGTCCTTGGGCCCTGCACCCGCATGGGAGACCAGGAGGAAGCACCTGGCTCCTGGCTTCGGATTGGCATAGCATGCCGGCCATAGCGGCCATTTGGGGGTGAGCCAACGGAAAGGAAGACCTTTCTCTCTGTCTCTCTCTCTCTCACTGTCT